CCCAGCTCCTGCAGGTGTAGAGAACACGTTCTCTGGGGGCAAAACCTGAGGTGAATGTGGAACACCAAGACCTTTCTTGTTTGGGGTGGGAGTGTTGGGCAGGGAGAGCTGCTCAGGAAGGGCTCCAGCACAGTGCAGTGTGTGCTGTTCCTTTGGGAAGAGGAGCCTCTCTGTGCTCTTGTGCAGCTTTTCTGGATGGAGACGACTGTCCTTATTACTGAAAAACCAATTCTGTTCACTGTTGTTGCTGCTTAGACTTGTGTTCTAATGAGCTACTCACAGCCCCTTGAGTTTGGAGGGTCAGAGAAGCAGGACTTGAGGCTCCTGAGCATGTCAGCTTTTAAAATAATTAACTTGGGACTGTGACAGGCCTGGCAGTCCCTGGGGCTTGCACAGGGCTGGACTTTCTGTGACCAGAGCAGTATGTCAGAGCTCTGGTTTCAGATGTGCCCGGACCTTCCCCAGCAGATTTGTTGTGCTGTAGTGGTAACTTCTCTCCCTTGTGTTTCAGCTCAGGTGCAGATTGAAGGGGATTTCCTGGCGTGCTCCTTCTCGATCCTGGAAGAGCAGCCCATGGACATGCTCCTAGGACTGGATATGCTAAAGAGGCATCAGGTATCAAAATCTCTTCTGAAACAGTTACTGGCTCTTCCAAGTTAAGCGCAAAGTGCAACATAAGTGCCTCGCCTGTCAATTCAGTAGTGTTTTCCTGGAGAGGGTTGATGCTGGAATATCTTCTATCCTGGAAGCACGTACACTACATCCATCGTGGACAGCTCCAGGGTGCCTGGCTGCTGCCTGAAGCTTTTTGCTCTGATCAGAGATGCTCAAAGCTTTATAACTGAATGATTTATTACAAATCGAGTCAGACAGGACCCTTTGCTTCGAGCTGATGCTCCTGGCCCAGCATTACCTGCTGGGAGCTGTTCCCATCGGAGTCGGGTTGTCTCACCTTGTTTCTCCCCTGTCTCCGGGACCTGACTGGCTCTCCCTCAGGCCCCTGACGTGTGGCTCTCTTCCACAGTGCTCCATCGATCTCAAGAAGAATGTTCTGGTGATCGGCACGACGGGCTCGCAGACCACGTTCCTGCCGGAGGGGGAGCTCCCGGAGTGTGCCCGGCTGGCCTACAGCGCCGGGCGCGAGGACGTGCGGCCCGAGGAGATCGCGGACCAGGAGCTGGCAGAAGCAATACAGAAATCCGTGGAGGAAGCAGGTACCAGGAGGAGCCCAGCTGAAGTGGGAGCCTGCATGTTGTTTTGCTGAGTGTCGGGATGTCTGTGAGCAGTTCCCCTTCCAGCTCTGGGGAGCAGCATCAAAGGGTGCAGAGAAGGGGCTGTATTCTTGCTCCAAGTGCACTTCTCTCTTCCTTTCTGGACAGCAAAACCTGCATGAAGGCACTTGAGGGGGTTTGCTGTTTAATTGGTGCTTTCCCTGCAGCTTCCCACCTGCCCTGGTTTCCTGGTCCTTGAGGTGTGGACATGAATGGTTGTCTGTGACACCCGGTCAGTGGTGTCACGTTGTAGTGCCTGGCAGGGCCGTGGCTCAGCTGTGGTTTTTCAGCAGCCTCGTGTAAGCACAGCTTTGGGGAAGTTTCCCAAATCCTGCTCTTAATGGCTGCACTGTGGAAAAATAGAGCAGCTGTGGCAGTGACAAAAGTTCATGGCAATTTTTAGAAACAGCACTATTGCAGCAGTTTTCCCTGGAATGGTGCTCGTGCCCTCGGAGGGGGAATTGCTTCTTGTAGTTGCTCTAAATTTCAAAAGCTGAATTCACATCCCTATGTGCATCCTCAGCCTTAAATGTGATCTGCAAAGAGAACTCTCCTGTAGTTTTGTTCCTGGTGCCCCTGGAATCCAAATGCTGCACAGATGCAGTGCCTGGGCTAGGGAAGATTTCAGTGGCTGCAAACTTTAGTGAAGTAATTTTATTTTCAGCCAAAAGAGCTGAAAGCTGAGCTATGAGCCAAACGGTTTGAAACTCACATTTTCTGTTCAACTCCTCCCTTAATTCAGCTTTTGGCTAAAGGAAGAATTCATTATTTTTTCCCTGCTGTTACAGGGAAGCTGTGAATACCTCAGAGTGTATTTCTTAGGCTTTTCCAAAACTTTTAAAGATAACATTTTATATCCAAGTGTTTTATGGAGACCTTTGACTCTTCCTGCTCATTTTCCCTCTGGAAGCACAGAGTAAATTCTACTTTCTACACTCATGCAGAACTCTTTGCTGGGTCAGGTTTAAGCTGATAAAGTTGATTCAACATTTTTTATTGCTAATTTTTTAAGACTCTAGCATGCTCATATTTAAGATTGAAGTGAGATAACAAACTTTAACAATATATTAAATTTATTTTTGTTTATTAGATATTAATATTTATATATATTTAACTATATTTAAATATTAATATTTAACCGTATTTGACCTTCCAGTCAGGTTTTGATGTCTCTAAAACTCGGGCTCAGTACCTTGGGCTTGTGTCTCTTTCCCATAACCTGGCAGGTGTAAATATTAGTTCTTTTCCTGTTAAAACCTGGAGCCTGATGGAGCCTGAGTTGGTTTTTGGAATATATCTCTACTTTGGATGAGACATTATAGTTGGTTGGGTTAGTTCTCTGCTGAAAGGGTCGAATAACAAGCAACCCTCAGCTCAAACTATGAGTCTTTACAGTAAAAACATTTTAGTCGAGTGTTTGAAAAAGAAGTGCCTGAAATGACTTAAATCCAAGCTGCTTATGTACCTCATAGAGTTCTAAGGACCACATGGCTTTGTTCAGCCTAATCAGCACTCGACCACTTTCCGTTGATGCTGAGCCCTAGAGGAATGTAAAAGATTTATGGGAATAGGAAATGCATGTTGTGTGTTCACTTCATGCTCACAGAACACCAAAGCACAGGACTAAGGGGGGGTCGTGTTCAGATTGACTGTGACAGTCCTGACACAGGACCAGCCTCTGGCCCACAGGCATTTGTTGGCTGTATCCTAAAATGTCAGCAAATTCCCTCTCTCTCTCTTCCAAAACTTGAGTTGCTGCTAGGTGGTACCAGGAAAACCAAGAAAGGAAAGAACAGGAAACGGAAGAAGGAGAGAAAGAGAACAAGATGAAGCACCACAGAAGCTCAGCTCGCCACAAGATGTGTGTTCTTTCCTAAGAGCTGGAATTTTTGCTGCCTTCCAGGAGATGGTACAACACAAATGGCTGCTTGCACCTGGAGGCTATTAAAGTGCTCGTTTTGAATGCACCTGGATTATCCCTGAGCTTTATTTAATCCCTGAAGCCCACTTAAGGGAGCCTCATGACTTCTGTCAGCTGACCTGCTGGTGGTTCAGACCTACAGAAGGCAGCTGAGGTGGTGGTGGAGCCCTGGTGTGGTTCACTGGTATCCAGATCCTCCACGTCCTCATTTATCTCTGAGGGCTTTATGCTCTTTTGTGCCAATTTCCCATCACTGGAAAACTCAGTGATCATGGGGGGTTCACAAACCTGGCAGCAAAACTGGAGCTGTTTGAGAAGGAAGAAAGGAAGTGTAGCCAGGCAGGTCACCCCATACACAGCTTTTCATCCAGGCAGCCTCAGTCCAAGTTGCTGCCACCACACACAACTCGGGCTGTTCCTGATTTAAATTCCTGAGAGGAATTTATCCCTGATGGTGCACTTTGTGGGGAAGAGTTTGTTCCTGGTATTAGCTGGATCAATATCCCTGATGGGGCTGGGATTCAGCTCCTGTAGATGCCCCAGGAGGAGGATGACACAGAGCAGTGCTTGGCAGAAAAACAGCTCCTGCTGCTGCCTAAATGCAGCTCCCCGGCGGGTTTGATCAGACCCTCATTAATGATCCAACGGGTCAAAGGACAGTTCTGCTTCCTCCCTAAAGGGTTGGTTTGGGAACAGAGTGAGAACGTAATCCTTCCACATAGAAACAGAAAGGATCCCTCTGGTTTTCATCTGTATCCATATCCTGTGTCACAAGGCTTTTCCCTTAGGAAAGATGAGCAGTGCATCAATCCAAGGGGTGGTATCATGGCACATACTGCACCAGTTTTAGTTAACAGAGAATAAAAGAACAAGAGGCTGAGGAGAGAAAGGCAGATTCCATGTTGTGGAATTTAAAGGGAATCCCGGCTGTAGGTGTGGGCGTGGTGAGCTGTGCCCCAGTACTCCTGTAGAAAGGGAAAGACTTCAGGAAAACTAGTGTTTAAGACCACTGAATTTGGGAGGGGAAAGGGAGCTTATGCAGCACAAAATATGGATGTGTGACCTGGGAGGAGCAGGGCTGTGATGGCAGGACTGATCTGACCGCAAAGGTCGGGTGAGTGATTTAACAAGAGTGCTGATACCTCAGCTAGATTAGACTGTCAGCAAGATAAGGTCACTTCTTTAACCTCTCCTGATAACCAGAGCAGTGTGTGGTGCTACTGGTAGACATCTGCTATTCATCCAGTCTCATGGGGAAAAGGAAGCAGCGAGCTGGGCTTGGCTTCTGCCTGTTTCTCGTTTGCTTTGCTCTTCCCAGCCTCGTCAGCAGCTCCTTTGGGGGGTTTCTTTCCCCTTTGGATCTGTACTCTTTTGCAGCAGGCTGGTGTTGGTTCGCCTTCTCTTACCTGTGAAGGCACTGCTGGGAGCACAACCCAAGAATGGTGTAGCCATCTCAATTCTCATATGCCTGAAACATGTCTCCTGAGTATCTCCAGCCAGAGGGAAAACAGAGCAGTAGATGCATGCCCTGTGCCGTGTGTGGTTTAGCAAGTGTGTAGCATCACCCACGGACCGCTCTGCAGCACAGAGAGTACAGAGCAACCTTTAAATTGTTCTTTGGCAGAGTTATCATGACTCGATGTACTGAATTTCCCAGGCAGAATCCTTCTGGGAGGCAGGAGCTCCTGCAGCCTCCACGCTGTCACGCTGGACAGTCGGGAGTGGAGCTGAGCAGGGCTGTGACCGTGCATGGTGTGTGCTCTGAATGCTAACACGAGTTTGGTGTGTTTGTTTCCTAATCCAAACAGAACGTCGGAAGCCTTGATGCATGTAGTGTGTGTTTACTGCAGCTGGAGTGGGCCACAGACCAGGTATTTACAGCCACCCGTTCCGGTTTGCGCTGCCGCGGTGCAAACGGTGGTTCTGCCATGTCCTGACTGCTCCTGTCCTTCTGTCTTCTCCAGAGAATAGTGACAAAGAAACTACCTCACTGGAAATGCCCTCATTACCAGCTTCTGATGGGTTTCAAAATCCAGTCCAGTCTTCAGGACTAAATTCCAAGATCTGTAATCCCACAAATCAATTACTTGATCGTTCTGTCTCTGCCCCTGCTTCAATTTGCTCATCCGAATCCAGCCTTGCAGAGCCCATTGATCCCAGAGCCGTCAAGACTTTTGACTCTTCACCTGAACGCCAGATAATCCCGGAAAAAGAGCATCCTCTGGTGTTAGAGCATCTTTCCAATAGCTCTTCCTTGGCAAATAACCCGTCTCCCCACACCGGGGAGGCAACCTGCTCCAATCCAGCTTGCCTTTCACAGAAGACACTCGAAGAAACATTTATTGCTGACATTTTAAAGGAATGTAATGCTAAAGGACAAGATCACAGTCAGGAACATCCTCTGGAAGTGACAAAAGACAATTTGACTGACACTGCTGCCAAGCATGGGCAGGATGAAGATGTCTGTCTGCCTTCGGAGCAGGAGCAAGAGCATGAGCTTCCCATAGGCCATCGGACGTGCAAAGAGCCAGAAAAGGAACATCTGGAGGAGCAAAATGAGACAACTGACCCAGAACTTCCTTGCCATGTTGGTGGGGTTGAGAAACCTGTTGTGGCAGAAGCCAACCAGCCAGAAGATCCTCCCCTGGAAACAAGAGATGGACTAGAGAGAGCAGGTCTTTCCTGTGCGAAAGGGATTATCCAGCTGTCAGCCTCCTGTGTGCACATGGAAGCCTCCATGGAAGTCGATGTAGTTGAGCAGGATGCAGCTGAAGTGCGGAGCTCAGCAAGGGAGCAGAAGCAGCAGACCGACGACAGATGTGTATCTGACCTGAGCTCGGATGCCTTTTCCATGGAGGTGGAGTTGCTGAAGTCTCCGTCCTCCTCGAGGGCTCTGCTTCCCACTGGTGATGTCCTGCAGTCTAAAAGCTCTGGGGAAATTCCTGCAGAGTTGTCTAATTTGGTGGCTGAAGTCAGCTCTTCCCCCTCCAGCATCCACGAGCTGAACACGGCTCCAGGAGGACCTTCAGAAGAGCCATGTTTCCCTCTGGCATCAGCCTTGAAAGAGCTTCACAAACTCTTGGTTATCAGTCGGAAAGGGGAATGTAAGATTCTCACCTCGGAAGAAGTCTCCCAGCTGGAAATGGTTCGCAGAGAGCCAGCAACAGTGGAGAAGGGGCTTCCTGAAGGTGAGCAGAAAGGCTCAGATCCAGCGAGCCAGGAACAGAGCTGCTCCTGCCCCGAGGTGAGGTCTGAGGGGAGCCAGCCTTGTGATTCCAGCAGAGAGCACGTCAGCACCGGGCCCGTCGGTCATGGTCAGCCTGCACTCGGGGAGGGGGCTCTAGGGAGGCAGAAGGGTCCAGGTAAGAGCCATTTGGTCCTGGAGAGTTCTGCAGCCACACCTGGGCAGCAGCAGAGCCTGGAGCAGGGGGAGGCTTTGGCAGAAGCTTCTCAGAGTCCAGCTAGTCCGACTTTGGAGCAAAACACACCCGTTTCCTCCACACCTGCTTTGGGTGAAGGCGCACCTCAGGATACGAAGGGCCTGTTCACGGGAGCGCCTGGGAGGAGCAGCAGTGCTGCTCCTGAGGGTGGGTGTGAGGAGCCACCACTGAACCCACCAGCTGCCTGCACCAGACTGGCCGCGGGTGCCACTCCAGCCCCTGCTTTCCCTGCGGCTGATGTCGACCGGATCCTCAATGCTGGTTTCACCCCGCGGGAGGCTCTCGAGGCCTTGGAACAAGCGGATGGAAATGCAGATCTTGCTCTTCTCATTTTGCTGGCCAAGAGTATCGTCGTTCCCACGTAACAGGGAGCTGGCTGGGGGGTCTTCTACAGGATGTATCTCAATTACACACCACAATGGATGAGCAGAATGTTGAGCCAGATTTTTTAATTATTTGCAGCCAAAGTAACTTGTCTCTTCTGTTTTACTTAATAGATTTGGCCTCTGAGAAGAAAGAAAACATCCTAGCATTGTGTGGACAGAATAGCTTTTAATTCTTCATACTGGATTAAAATGACTGGGTTATTTAAATGTACAATTTTAGAATAAGCTCCAGTGCTACGAATAAAAAGCAGAAGCCGTTGCGCTCACTGCCCTGCCTGGAGCAAAGTGGGTTGTGACAGGAATTGGCCATGGGATGGGAGGTGCACATGGAGTCCACACGGACTCTGGATTTGTTGTAGCTCTTTGTAACCCAAAATCCAGCTGTTGAAACCATCCTGGCAGCAACTAAAGATGTGTAGATGCCCACAGACATAAAAGGCTTTGTTAGAGGAGCGAGGGGTGTGGGTTTTTTGGGGAGTGTGTTTTTGTGTGTGCACGGGGAAGGCTGATGCTTATTTTGCCAAACTCTTTTAAGCTGGTTAGATTTAGAGTTGGACTCGATGATCCTTGTGGATCCCTTCCAACCCAGAATATTCTGTGATGCTCTTGGGCCAGTGTGTTCCAGTTTACAACATGGGGATAGAAGAAGGGAAGGGATAGAATTTGGTGCTACCAAAACTTTAAAGAGACATTTTAACTTATTTGGAGATGCATTGGTATTAATTGCAGGGGACAGGGGGAGGGAAAAGGAGTATTTGACATTTTTTTCTAGCCTTGCCCACATCTCATTTCCCCCATGCAGAAAGAACAAGCTCAACCACTTAAAGGCAAAACCTTAACAACAAATTTGTTTAACAAACCAACCAACCATGTGTTATGGCTCCAAATCCTCCTCTGCCCGGGGAGGAATGAACTTCATCTCAGTGGCTGCATTCCCTGTGCTCTGAGAGGGGCTGTGATTGGAAGAAGGATCTGCTTTGCACTGGTTTGTCTGGATGTTTGGGGACGATCAGCCTCTGAGCTGGGGGGTGCTGATCTCACACCTCTTCAAGAGCGAGGGCTCCCCAGTAGGGTTCATGAAACAAATGCACTGACGTGGCTTCTGTGCTACAACCGTCGTGGCCTTCTGGGACACCCCTGGGGAGTCCCTGCGTGGTGAGGCCTCACTGAGGCTGTGCTGTAGGAAGCCCTTTCCAGATGCTTTTCTTGGGGGATGATGCTCTGCAAAGCCCCAAAACTCTGTTGGGGCTGGGGAAGGAGAAGGAAAGTGTGGCTGAAACCAAAATTTAAGTAGGAACTTTGATTTAGTCCCACTTGCAAATCTCAGAAGTGGCTTTGTGTCAGGTGTTCATCTTGAACTTGCTGTGCTGAGCTGAACGTGGAGTGATGGCTCAGCAGCACCAGACACGTGTTTTTGTTTGTGGCTTCCATGTGGTGTTGTCATTGTCTCAGGCCTGTGTCCTGATGTTTCGTGTTCCCTGTTGCTTTAGCAGGTTTCCTACATGTGTGCTGGGCTGTTTTCATGCAGGTGGCATTTAAAACCAACCCAGATTTGGTTTCATCTGTCACCTTGCAAGAGTTTCTGCTGTCAGTGAGCGCTGGTGTCAGATTCGTCTCAGACACGTGGGCAGCCAGGAGATCCTTTACAGTAATGAAGAGCCTTAAGGCATTCCACTGTCAAAGGGAGCTTTTCCATGAGCTGGGGCAGTCCCAGCCAGGCCTGGAGCTCCCAGACAGGTTTGGCTTATGTCCCTCTGCTTGTGATGCCGGCAGCGGGTGTTGCTCCATGTGGGAAGCAGTGCTTGGCTGTCTGGGAACCCCCCACCTGAGCAGCATCCAGCAATTCACTTGGAGTCTGCTCAAAATGAGTTCCTGAGGCCAGACTGCAGCTTTCTCGTCTTCACCGTGTGAGTGGTGGAGTTCCCCCTGCTGAAGGTTTGGTTTAATATTCTTGCAGTGAGCACCTCAAATCAGCAAAAGCCCCTCTGTGAAGGGCAGCACCTGGGCTGGTACAGGAGTAGTGTCATCAGGTCTCTAGAAGCCTTAGGAAATAGAATATATTAGACCTGTTCCCATCTGCATCTGGTTCACTATCAGAAGCAGCAGCAACGAGGCTCCAGCTCTCAGATCCAGAGTGACTTCAGACAGCTGAATCTGCTCCCAGTTTGTGCCCTGGGGCTGGGTGAGGTGGTCCTGGGAGCAAAGTAACGCAGGTAGCAGGTACAGGTTGGCCCTCTTGGATGCAGGAGAGCTGAACCTGCACCCTTAGTCTGCATGTGGATCTACTGCCAGCTGCTTGGAGCATCATATGTTGGCTGCTCAATGTTAGCTCCTCATGTTAGCTCCTCAGTGTTAGCCCCTTGTGCTCACCCTTTCTGTTTTAGGAGCTGCTGCTCTGCACCGGGCTGGGGACAGGCTCTGGTTTCACGGCCACAGCGACTTAGGCTGCGCATACGGAATTTACGCTATAAAAGCTTTAGAGCATCAGCCAGTCTGCTTCAATGCTCAGTTTTACTCCTTGTCAAATACAAGTTTTGAAACCCGCCCTCCTGCCAAAGCTGTATGGAAGCATTTATCCATAGTGCTAGAATTCCCTGGGTAACTCTCTCAACTGCTAGAAACAAACCCTGACCCCCAACTGATAAATACTTGTAAAACTTTTATCAAGTAGGTCCAAGCCTGGTGATTTAAATCTCTTCATTTCCGAGCCTTGCTTTGAGTGAATGGCTATGTGCTGCTGAATTAGTGAATAATTTTTTTAGGAGCGAGATTTAGGAGAAAATTGGGGCAGTGGTGAGTATTTAAGGTTAAAATAAAATGTAATAGAATGTGTGTTTAGCGAACGCTGTCTAAAAGTTGTCTTTGTTTCAATGTGTCCTCTCTGCTGTGTGCACACACACGTCCTCTGCTCAGCTTCCAGCAATCCCTTCGCTGGTCCCTGTGCTGACCTGGCTCACAGAGTGGGAATATTTCTATGGAAGGAGGGACGGCAGAGCGCTACAGCTTGTTGGCTACAGCAGGGGATAAAGGTACCACCAAAAGCTTTTCAGGTTTCCAAAGAGCTGTGTATCCTGGCCTAAAATCAGACCTTTGCTCTCTTCTCTTCTCCCTCATCATTAATCGGTGCCCCAGTGTCCTAATGTCACATCAGCAAAGGGATTTCACCATGAAAGTCCTGCTCTAGAGAGTAAAGCAACGCTCAGAAGCTGCTTCGTGAAGCTGCCAGTGCCTGTGGGACCGGGTGGGTCTGTAGAGATTGTTTCTGGGTGTTCCCTGGAGCCACTGTTGGTTTTGGATGTATTATTTTCCTTAAAGATATGGAAGCAATGGCCTTGGCCTCTTGCTGAGCATGTGTTTCTCTACACAAGGCCGTAGGTGAGCACAGAGGGATGTTTAGTGAAATCTCAAAATCTGGAAGTTTCTGGGCACAAGTGACTGACAAGAGGAGGGATTATTCCTGGGGATGGTCCCTGGCATGTTTTCCTGCTGCTGGACAGAGCTGAGCTGTGCTGTTACCCTGACAATCTGCCTCGTTGCTGCATCTGTTTGACTTTCTACATAGGCACTTGGTCTCCAGGACTGTTAATCTTGTACCTTCTCTGTGTTCCTCTCTTCCTGTCTTTGTCTCTCCCTCTTGCCGTCCTCTCCTCAAAAGTAGCAATATTTAAGTGTACTTGCTGAATGCTAACTTCAGTTTTCTCTAAGATGCTATGCCATTGACAAAAGGAGAAGCAGATCCTAGAGGTTTCTTCACCAGACTTGGATTTCTTGCCAAACAGCTCCCCAGAACTTTAACAGGAATTCAAAGAGGAGAAATCCAGAGGTATTTTTGCCTGCCTCTCTCGGAAGTCAGCTTGGGAAACGGGGTCGGTTTCGTGTACATCATTCCCCTCTGAAGTGTTCAAGAGATTTCTTCCTGCACTGTGTAGATGAGGCTTGGTCTGTGATCCAAATGTACCTTTGGGTCACACTTTGATGCTTTTTAGCTTCAGAGTTTTACAGACTCACTTAGGGAACTTGAGGGAATCAATACTCAGGAATCCTAAAGCTGGTTGCGTTTGTGTTGTTGACTCTCGTGGGCTGAACACGCTGCGGCCTCGCAGGCGGCTGAAGGGAGGAGAGTGGGTGTGTCACCAGTGGGATGTGGTTCTGCCCAGAGTAATACACACTTGATTCTTTTTTTGATTTTTTTTTTTTTTTAATATCGGGGGACTGTTTATCAACAAAATTGATGTGTAAAGAAAATTTGATATTTAAAAAAATGAATAAAAACTTTATCATAATGTTGCTTGGTTGGTCTGTCTGTATTTCTGAGGCCAGCAGCTCTGCACTCAGATCCTTCTCTGCCTTTTTTGCCAAAGCCAGTGGATTTTCCTTAACATAAATGTCATTTTAAACGTAACAAGTAGAAATCTGTGGGTAAAATTATTCCAGTTGGCAGGGCCCGAGAACAGGCACGAGAAATTCCTGTATTCCCCTTCTTTGGGGATGGGCTGATGGGTCCTTCAGGCAGGACTTGGAAGTGGAAGAGCATTGAGAATAAACACAAAATGCAGCACTTGGACACAGCTCTGTCTGATGAAAAAATGAATAAGGCACTCCTTGTCTCCTACCTAAATACCTCCTTTCCAGCCTGATTAGGAGATGGTTTTCTTTTCCTGGAGCTGGAATTTAATTTCTTGGGTCATTAAAAACATTGGCATTTCTATCCCCGCAAAGCTCATGACAGTTGTAGTTAGAAATAACTTTTTTGAAGTCCCATTCTCTTAGTGTGAGAGAACAGGTTTTGGAAGGGAGGAGTAGAGGATATTCCTCCTCTGAAACTTGGGGCACAGTGACAAACCCCAAGATAGCATCTCATGGAGCAGCAATTCCTTCTTCAGATCTGGAAAAACTTGCACTTTTCCTTGGGACAACACTGAGGTTTTGACTGTCTTAAGTCCTCGCTATCAAAAGTTGTCAGTGTTGGTACCAGATGAGAGACACAGACACGATGGGTTATGAATCAGTTGCTGTGACAAATTTGGCAGTAGTTTCCTAACATGTTCAGAGCTCTGCATGTGCTGCTGTTGGCAGTGTTAGAGCCAAGTGAGGTCATTAGTGTCATGAGGTCATTAATTAGGAGGCAAAACTACATTTTGAATCCTGTTCTCAGGGTGGGAAAGGGTTTAATGTGAGGGTTGCTACAGCCTCATCATACATTGACCAAAGCGTTCACTGTGATTTTTTCTGCTGGGAGATGATTTAAGGACTAAGTGCCCTGGTTCAAAACTGTTTTGAGCACTTGGGCCTTGTTTTTTCTGCTTGAGGAAGATGGTTTTATTTTGGTAACATATAAAAGTGAAAATTAACCACAGTTATGGTTGTGTTCACATTTGGGATTGTCCCAGTCTGAATTGGGAATGAAAGCTGAAGGAGGGTAGGTTGGCCTCCCCCTCCCTGGAAGTGT